ACTGGCCTCCCCTTTACACCCCCCCCCCCCACCCCCTACTGTACGGCGCAACAGATCAACAAGCACAAGAGGCACTTGGACAAGGGTGCGCTGCTTGAGTTTTGGAGACTGCTGGACGAGTTCATGCTCCTCAACAAGCCGGAAATGATGACATAGCGCTGCATCTAATTACCGCTGCTGACGCATGTGTCGTGGAGTCTCATCATTCGATGTTGTGCAAGCGTTGTGCGAACACAAGCACGTTTAGCTTGTGGCTTTGTACAATATGTTTTGTTTGAGCGCCACTACAGCAGGAACGCGTGGGCGTCTCTGTCTACTTACAATTGGTACTTCTCATGTGGGCGGTGCTGAGCGACCCCGTGCCGGTCGATTGTTGTATGTACGGGAAAGCCAAAATACCTGTACCCGCAAAGTACGAGCGTGTATGCATCATGTTTGTCTGATTCTTTGGAAGGCAACAAGTTGCAAGCATTAACATAGCGGTAGGGATGTGTGGTTCATGAGGGCAGGTTTGTTTGGGCTTTCGGAAAGACTTCGGCATCAACCAGATACTAAATAGCAGCACCTCCTTAACAATGGCGTCAAGCACCTTAAGCTTTCAGCAATAAAGCCGAACAATTTGCGATTTGGGCCCACCCTTTTCAAAAGCAATAAAGATTTACATACAGTAGCTGCGGCGTGTGTTATTTTGTTTGTTGGCAGTAAATAGACCATTGCAGCGTAACTCCTGTCGTAGCCGTCAACAAGGATGATTGCCATGCTGGGCAGTTTTGTTTTCAGTTGCATCGCAGTTGTGCTGGCGAGCGACGGTACACGGTCAGAGGCTGCAGCTTTTTAGTAGCGAATTCGACCCGCGCTGAGGTCGTTACCACGGCAATGGACGTGGGAAATAATATACTCCCCCCAGGGCATCCGAAATGTCCCCAACGACCGACTATGACGGCGGTGTTGATTCACTGAAACTCGAAGCACACGCTGTTGCTGGTGGTGGCGTGCCAACGTTAGTTCTTGGTCCGATCAAACTTCCCCAAAGGGTGCTCTATGTTTCCCGCACGAAGATTTGTGAGAGCGGTGTGGATTAATCGCTACTACCTCGAAGCGCAAGCTGTTGCTGGTGGTGTCGCGACGAAATGGCGGTGTTTGCTATATCTGGGCAGTTACACCCCTGCGACGGGTACATATCCCGCCCTATTGAGCCGACCGCTTTTTGTGTGTGTCTCCAGTAATTGTTGCGTAGACCTCTGTGATTTATTACTCATCGGCACTAGACTACTGTACGTAGTTTGTTTCTCCCTCTGCCCGTGTGGTCTTCCTCCGGTGTGGTCCCGGCTGTTGCGTCCGAGGACATACCGAACGGTGCAAAATCAACAACATCCAAGAACAAATGGGAGGTTCACACGCACACAATTACTTTGTTGTGTTGTGATGATACAGCAGTGCCCGATCCATGATCAAGCCGAAGCTGGAAAAATGCGGCGGAACTCAGCGAGAGGCAAACGCTTTGCTCATGAAAACGACGCCCCGCTCACGACATTCTCGATTGAAGCGCGCGCTCATGCCAATTAAGAATCGCACGTCGCATGCGTTTTACTTGCTTTGATCCCCTGTTTTGTGGACAATGTGTCATAAAATGTCAACACAACAAGCAGCCTGCATTGACGCAAGGCTGATCTGTGTGTAGTAGTAGATTGAATCTTCACAAGTAAGTGTATATATATATACAGCAGGTACGGCATCGAGGAATTTAAATCGACAATGATGTTGGGCTCTCTCGTTGTTGATCAGTAGTAGTCTCGCATCGCTCAGCATACTTGTTAGGCCTTACTGCCAATTTACATTCATTCTCCGAAGCGTATACAAGTCCATCCATTCATCACAGCGTGCAGCAGTGATGAAGCATGTACGTACAATAATATTAGGCGTCTTTGGTGCCGCCCTGTCTCCTTCTCCGAATTCATGACGACAGCATGCATACTACCAGCAGCTGGATTTGATTGCTGCATCACAGCACAGACGGCAGCATTCAGTGCGGCATGTGTGCATATGTGATGCAATTGAAAAACGTACTCTATTGTATGGGTTTATATTCTACAGTTTACTTACGGTCCTGAGGGTGGCAACAAAAAAAAAACTCTGATATGTAGATCGTGAAATATCACAGACCATTAGACTAGTTCCAGCCCCAGCAAAACTCTTTCGTTCTTGACGCTTTTTTTTTACCTGTTTTTCGCGCAACTGGGTGTTCTCCCCGTCATTCTCCTCTTCCATCCATCCATACGTATCCCGGCCTCTAAATCAGCGAGTGCAGCTTCGAAAACACGAAATACATACGCATACAACCGAGTAGCCAGCGCCGATCTCATCTGAAAAGACCTCATTGAGAGTCTGGCTATTACGTCAGGAAAAAGTCGGAGATGCTGCTGTAAATAGGCAGGCCATCAGAGAACGAGATAAAAAATGGCGATAAAGTACCACGACGATGATGATGGTGGTGGACCAACCGCTAGAGACAGACCCGGAAGAGATTAGATGCTGGTGGTGGTTAATGCGACCCGACCGGGGTGGCACGCAGCCACAGACAGGGGCGATGATCCATGTCTTGATGCTTTCGTTGTTGTTGTTGCTGCTGCTGTTGCCTTCATATAAAAAAGTATGCATACTTCTTCGCAAGCCGAGAGCGCTCATTTCACCCACAAGAGGTCTCGAGAGTTCGTGCGCAACGAACGGTCACGGGGGCTCGTGAGTAGCCGGTGAGAGGGTATGGCGCTGTTGTTTCTATTTGCAAACACATGCACACACAGGTCAGTTTTCAGCCGCACCCAGGCTGACTTATTTTCATTGGTCAGCCGGTTAGCCCGGTCGATGCTCTCTCCGACAACACACACCGGTCTCGTGTATTGAACACACAAAACTGGTGCGGGGGCACAAAAACGTCCCTTGTGTATCCACATGTTTCTCGACAAGATGAAAAATGTGGTGCGTCCAACAAGTTTATTCGTTACAGTACGTAATACGTCCATTACATCACGCTGACCCCGACGTATAGGGAAGACCCAAGGTATCAGCCACGTCGGGGAGACCAAATGCAGCATATCCTCAAAGGATCCAAATTCCATCGAAATCGTACATCAACGACAAAAACACACAAAACATTGACAAACCGCTGGATTCCTGATGAAAGACATCCAGGGTGCTGGAAGCAACAGCAGCCACTGCACTCCATTAATCACCGAGAAAGGCTTTTGGTTGACACCCACGGCCATCACTACAAAAACCGGATTCGCTTGCACATCAAAGGCAACCGCCAATCACTCCAGCCTCCCGCAGAGAGAGAAAGCCACATGGCGTGTGCATACTTGCGTGTTATATCGGCAAAGCCTAGGTTATTTATTATCACCCATTCGACACCAAGGGCCCAACAGTAACATCTGCGCATGTATCCGCAACAAAGCCTGTCAGGTTTTCACCACCCATTCGACATCAGGACGCTAACACCAGCTGCAAAAATTGTCCCTTTTTTTTTCTTAGGCACTGCTGAGCTTGGCCCAGGCCTCGTCGGAAGCCTTGGAGCGAGCGCTCTCCACTGCGAAGACGTCGGTCGTGTGGTTGGAGTTGTAGATGCTCTCGAACGTCATTGGGTTCCCCGCGCACTTCTTCTTCCAGACCTTGCCCCCGTCCAGGGTGTCGGTGTTGCTCCATACCGGTTGCTGGGGGGAGGGGGGTGGGCACCGCAGTATAGGGGCGATCAGAACAGTTGGGTGGCAGCAATACTAGTAAACTTGCTGTGTCTTGTTATCAACCAGTTCGGATGCTTGGAAGGGGGGGGAAGGGTCTAGATTCCAGATTGGGCATATCGTTGCGATTGACGTGACCGACACATGATTTCTCCGAGCCATTGACATGGAAAAGGGACCTTGTCGGGCACTGCCGTACGGGAGCGGGCGGGGAGGTAGAAAGGAACCCCGCAGACTCACGCGCGCGTGTGTGTGTGTGCAAAGGAAGCCACCAGCGGTTCGTTACACAAGACGCAAGTCAGGCGTACGCTGCCTCCTCGATCGACGACACAGTTGGAAATGGGGGGGGGGGCATTTCAATCCTTCGCGGCGAGGGCTCGGAATGGAATGTCTCATGAACCCGTGCTTTCACGTTCATCGCACACATCATAGGGGGGGGGGGGTAACGCCAAGTTATAACTTATACCTGGGACCCGTCTTCGGCGTGCACCCCGACCATGACGCCGCCCTCTCCGACTCCCACGCCGGTCGGCGAGGTGTCGACGATGTTGTAAATGATGCTTCCCCTGACATCCGAACAAAATGGAGGCAGACGATGAGTGAGGAACAACAAACCAAGCTGGGGAATTTGGGCGAGAGAGATGACCCGACCCTCCCATGGCCGAAGGACTAACCTCTGCACAGAGAAAGAAATGCCGCAGCAGCACCACCGGTGAGTTGATTTGAGAAAAACACCAGCAACACCGGAAATATCGAAAAAAAAAACAGGCAAAACTGGAAACGGGGGGCGTTTCTGATTGGCCCGTCACTTCTTGAGCGAAGAAAGTTCCCCCTGGGGAAACAGTGGTAGTAACGACAACAACACCAGCACCAGCACCAACAACGCCGACGAACGCATCAACAACGGCACCACCACCACCACCACCAAGTACAGATGCATCACAACACCACCAACTACATGAGTCTCCACGTACAGATGCCATCAACACCGCCACCACCCACTACATCAGCCTCACCTGGGAGCGACGATCCGCTTAGCAGTGACGTTGACGAGGATGCAGTCTTCCGCCTCGATGTACCCGCAGCGCACGTTCGTCAGCGCCGAGTTCTTGACGGACCCGCCGCCGAGCGTGGAGGCCGAGACCATGCTCACGTCGTCCACTTCGGCATCAGCCGCGATGTCGCTGTTGGACACGCGGCTGGAGCACCCCAAGAATTCTCGGAGCAGCGCGGACTCCTCGCACACCTGTGTTGGTTGTTTCGAGGGAATGGGGGGGCAAGCGGCCACAGAGTGTGTGGTACCGTATGTGTGTTTTTACTAACAGCATCGACCGCGTAAACCGGCTAACCAATGAAAAGACGTCGAAATGGTGCATTACACACATATCCGGTTGGGGTGAGAGACGGTAATACCGCGAGTGGAACCGGTTTCCAAACGGTAAACCGTCCCGTCCGAGTACGTAAAAAGTGCGTTGTTAGCGCTGGCTTACCCCCGTGAGCAGGGAGTTGTTGGTGCGGTACAGGCGAAGCTGCCCGTAGTCCCACCAGCACGCCTCGTCACCCACGTTCACGGCGCCGAACACGCCCATCGACTTCGACTCGCTCTTCGCCATGAACTTGTCTGCAGAGAGAGAGAGAGAGAGAGAGAGAGAGAGAGAGAGAGAGAGAGAGAGAGAGAGAGAGAGAGAGAGAGAGAGATAAAGATAGAGATAAAGATAGACGAGAGAGATAGAGATAAGAGATAAGAGATAGAGAGACAGAGACAGAGAGAGACAGAGAGAGACACAGAGAGGTGAAGGGCGGCAGTGTCGGCATGGGGTTAGCCACGTAGGACTCAGAAACAACAGTACGATTACGGCGCGTGATGTTCGTCGCCACGACGACGCGAAGAAGGTCTTGCCTCTAACGCTGCCCGCGACAGCCCTCATCTCCACCCACAACACGGCAGAGGAAGACAAACAAAACAAAAGGTACTCACCAAGGCAGCCCCTCATTCTCGTGTAGTGCGCCAACGCCTCCTCTGCCGAGGTTCCCTTGCCTCCCATGATCTCCACGTACGCAGACTCTTCGAGGGTAAACTGGCCCAACGCAGCAGTAAGGAGGCGACGCAGGGAAGGGGGGGGGGGGGGGGTCCGTGGAGTGGGGTGGGTTGAAAAACGCCAAGGTTAAGAGCTCCGCGACGATGCAATCAATAGCTCGCACAAAACGATTCTACAGGGGGGAGCGGGGGCTTGAAACCACCGGCTTAGGATTGGGTTTGTACGCGCAAGGTCAAGAGGAGAGCGATACCGGAACCGGGGGGTCACAGAGACGGGTCAGACGGAAGCATGCCGGACTGAAGGGCAAACCACAAACTTGTGACGACGAATGAAAGAACGAACGAACGGTCGCCACGCGCGCCCGCAACGCAGGCAAACACGACGTCGTAAGGCTGGAACCCAGGCAAACACGGCCTCGTAAGGCTGGAGTTGTGATGGCGGAGGCTTCACACCAGGAAAAAATAAAACAAAACATCCCTTCCACTGCTGTGGAATTATCTCGAACGGGTAGTCAGTACAGCAGTAGTCGTGGTCCCTGTTTAGCGGGATGCCCTGAATAGCGGTCCCAAAAATCTGGTGGCACGGCTGCGCCTCGGTAGTCAAACTACCATGTAACTGCCGATCCGGTTTAGCGGCGTGAAACCTATGCAGAGCCAAGCGCATGGTGCGAGGGTACGTGAACGGTTATTCGCCAGGGCGCCTTGTAACAACGCCCCGGGAATAACACCGACCGTAACTCTACTCCTGCGGGCGCTCGCCCGATACGCGCGCGTCTAAAAAAACGTAACTTACCGGCATCCACAGGTGCGGGTCGGAGTCGAGCTTCCCGACCTTGGATGTTAGCTCGGGCTTAAACTCCTCGATCAGGGCCTGAAGCGACGAACACAGTACGATGGACGAGGGCAGACCCGCCGCCGTCACATGCGTAGACAGCACGTGTGAGAGTCGGTCAAAACGAAGGGCACACCGCGTGGTGATGCACAACAAAATCATTCACGCACGGCTATAACGGGAAACGTGCAACACGTGCCTGGCGTAGCAAGAGCAAAAATGGAGAACCTTGCGAGTTTTACGGTCACCTTCAGAATCATGCTTTGCACATGCCACCGAACGAAAACACTCGAAACACATCCACCGCACGTACGCATACAATACCGTACTCAGAATACGACGGTCAATTGTGCACACGACATAACCAAGGCAACAAACACAAATAAAACGTCTACTGTAGTAGTAGTAGTAGTGGCCCTTGTATAAAGCCGGCCGCCCTTTACCATGTCGGTGGAATCACGTAACCCAGATTGATCACTCAAGTTGTCTCATAAATTTACTGTCAAAATTGTTCCTGCCGGGTACCCGGTACAAGGCCGCCCAAATCCCTTGACACTACCATCTATGCGGCCTTCTACAGGACTGGTGTACTGCTGAAACGAAAAATGGTTCCCTCGCGGTACGTGCTCGTTGATAAAGGCGAGAGCAAGGCGGCACGACTCTAGATGCTTACGTCCACGAGGAGGGAAGACATGCTGAAGGAACCAAGGGAAGCGCCGACGTTCACGATCTCGCCGAGCGAAGACAACAGCCGGGTAGCCACGGCGTGGGACACCTTCTCCACCTGCCGGTAAAAAAAAAAGAGAGAGAAAACGTGTACGAAACAATAAAGAGAAGTACGGCAAGGAATTTAGCAAAAGAGGGTGCTCACAAAACGGGCTTTGCGCACATAAAAAGGTTAGACGACAAGGACGGGTAGGAGGAACAGAGAGGGAGGGAGACGGAGAGCACGTTTTGTTTCTCTCCGAGCTGAACTGCACAGGCGTACTACTGTACGCGTAGAGACAACACCTCAACCACCCAAACCGCCCCGACACGGACGGTGGGGCGGACAGCAACTCTTGGCCGAACTCACGTCCGCGCAACCCCCTCCTGCACTGCAAAACCGGTGGAGGACAACGGACCGCGCCAAATACACACGACCTATATCACGTACCGCAAGAGTGGGCCTGCCTACCGAACACCAACCAGCTTCCTCCTTCGTGAAGCAGAGACGCTTGGATGTCGGCCGGCGGAAAAAAGGTTTCCCCATGTCTTACCTGCGCGGCATTCCCCTCGGAGTTGACGGCGATGAGGCCGTAGTTGTCCAGGCCCTTCTCCTTCCACTCCGTCTCGTTCATCATCGGACCCAGCGTGCACAGGATGTCGGCGTGGTGGGTGGACTCGTACTCTACCCCAACGGACGGGATGAACACCTGTTTGGTTCCCCGCGTAGTGACGGGATAGAAAAAAAAATAAAAGGTTGTGACAAGACCACCAGGGTTCATGGGGACACGCCCGTTTGGAGCAACTCCCACACGGAACACACCATAAGCGGGGCCGTTTTCCGACGGGATAAAATTCACGACCCGCCACCGCTGGTACCCGATTTCACGCCAAGTCTCGTCCGGGAAACGGGGACAGAATCCAGAGCAGTACACCAGGATAAGTGGGCAGCGATGAAGTAAACCACGTCATCACGTTTCCATCTTTGGCCCTCCAATAACCACCACCGCCAAACGTCTCATCTCACGTCACCCCCCCCTACCGCACCGCCACCAGCATTGGCACTATTACACATTCTTGTGTATCTGTCGTGCCGGGCTCAAGTTTGAGCTTTCCCCGATCAACACCGAAGACAATTTATCTTTAGCGAGAGACACCCGATGCAGCGTGGCCTCATATCTCTTGTTTGTGCTGGGTTGTGGGAGGCGGGGGCGGCAGGAGGTGGTGGTGGCGATAGCATGACCGCTAACTACCCGTTCCAGCAACCAGCGAAAAAAAACGAAGTACAAACGAAGAAAAAAAACAAGCACACCTATTTTACACACATCGAAGTGAAGGAAGAGACGAAAATGAGAATGATCATAAATGTACCAAGAGTGAGGAATGGTACACTTACTTTCTAAAAAAAAACAAGTGAGAAGATAAATAAATCAAAAATCAACAAAACCTGAAACCAGTTAAAAGCCAAAACAACCAACAGAGCAAAAAAATCACCTGGTCACCCCAAAACACGGAGAGGCGCCCCTTGCGGCTCTTCCCGTAAACGCCGGTCTGCTTCACCACGCTCTCGAGGATGGTGAGGGGGGAGGGCTTGCCGTTAATGTCTGCCGTCACCGCCAGCTTGACACCGGGCTTGTTGTTGTTCTCGGAGCCGGGCATGGGGGCGAGCCGGGTGCCTTTGCCCGCCGTGTGGTAAAGGCCCACGCTGATCTGGGATGGTTATTGACAGGGTCGTCCGGTTTGCGACGTCCGCGGTAGAGAGAGTAAAGGGAATGCGCGAAAGGGAGTGGGGGGGGGGGGGGGGGGGGGGCTTTTTTTTTTTCCCCCCCCCC